ACAGGGGGTTATGTTGGCGATGCACGTCAGTTTTTCAGGGACACTATGATTCGGGGCTATGGTCTACGTACCCCCATTCAGTCCTATTGGGATACCTGGAACAAGTTGTCCCAGGGGTCCAAGAGTGTGGACGACTACAACATCGAGTTCGAACAGGCTCTGGTGAACCTGCGAGCTGAGATTACGGATGAGGCTGTTAAGATCGAGAGGTATCGATCTGGCCTACAGGCCGATGTTAGGGAGATGTGTCGTACGTCGCCCACTGGTCAGCGTTGGGGCACTCTGAATGAGTTGGCTGAGTATGCCACTCTTATGTGGCCCGTTGTGGAAACGCGTTTGGCCAAGCGGAAGACTTCCCAGCCTGCCAAGTCGGTGGCTGGAAAGCGTAAGGCTACTGGGGGTGGTTCTGGACGTTCCCAAGGCCAAATTGTCGGCAGCTCTTACTGATGAGCAGTATGCCAACGATATGGAGAACCGCCTCTGCCATATCTGCCACAAGCCAGGCCATATTGCACGTGACTGCGAGGAAGGTCCTCCCAGTGGAAGCAAGAACAAGGGCCAAGGCCAGAAGAAGGGCAAGAAGTAGGAGAAGGGTTTTCAGAAAGACTAGCCAACGTAGGACAGTTGCCTAGTCAGGAGAACTCTGTATTGGATCTGACAGAACAGGACTTCCTGAATATTTCAAATCTTACTGGTCGTATCTTTGAAATGGGAGTTCAACGTTCAGAAGATTCCATCTCTACAGATGTATGTCCTAGCTCAGTCTTTCTGTCATCGTCTATGGCAAGCAAGCATGTATGGATAAATGCGAGTACAGCTAAGGATGTTACTGAACGTCTTAGGCACATGCACTCTGCATTAGTTGAGAACCCTACTTCTACGTCTGCTTGTGTGTTAGTACGTGATAGCATGCCGGTTGCATTGCCATTACTGAAGGATTTTCGTGTTGTGCTGACAGTTCCAAAAGGTGGGTTGGTTCGACAGTTGCAGTCAGATAACATGTGGGCTGTTGTGCGAAGTTCTGAGAAATTGCGAGTTCTATATCTTGCTTCTGTTGCTGACAAAGTGTCTGTTGAAGCAGGTTTGCTGACAAGCAAGATTCTCGCAGCTTCACGAAAGGGCTCAGCTAAGTTGCCACGAATGATGTTTTCCGGTAAGGCAGCTGCTCAGAAGGCCAACATCTTGTTTGATTCTGGAGCATCAATGAATTTTGTCTCTGCCAAATTTGCTAAGCAGACATGCATAACGGTAAGTCCTATTGCTCAGAAAGTTCGTCTGGCAGATGACGTTGTTGGC